CCATTCACACAAGTTTACTAGGTAGGTTATTCACTACTTTTCTCTTGCCTTCAATCTGTCCTGTGAGTGTCAAATTTTCCAAGCCCTCTTTTCCCGTTATATGCCCTAGAGATTTCAACTGCCTCGCCATGATTTTATCTGTGTCCTTTTGCTCCCATTTTCCTTAAAATCTTATTGTTTGTTATTAAATCAAATAAAAAAAAAAAAAAAAAACTGACTTCAATTCTTGAAGACACAAAATAAAAAACCTCTAAGTTTTTTTGCTAAAAGCAAGAAAGTTGCTGGTTTCAATGCACAAAATTAGAAATGCTAATAAAACATTTACAAAAATTCCAAAACAGAAATTATGAATTTAAAATATTAGTAAGATTAAAAATACTAAATTTTCGTTTCATTGATGTCAGAGTTAATATCTAACAAATATTTATATAATTCAAATATTAAATACAATCCTTATTTTACAGCCACATCTCTCCAGAATATATGTCATCATGGTTTTCCACAGCCTCCTTCCCAGAACAATAGTGCAGATATTAGTTAAATACAGGGTGTGGCAGAAATACCTCCCAAATATAGCTAGATGAAGATACCAGTGCCACTTAATGTCTTACCATTATGTGGGAAGTATTTCTGCCACATTAGAACAGTCTGAGCTTCAGCAAGTAGCAGCCAGCCTAGGAAGAAGACAACTGAATTCAAAACTGAAGGGAGCAAGAGGGAAAATATTTTATTATTTTTCTAAAAAAGCCATGGCAATTCACAGATTAATAAAAGGAAGCTATGGAGAGCCATTATGATCTATGTCCTGGAGGGAGATGGCATTTAAAAAAAAAAAAAAAATTTCAAAGAATATTTTTAAAAGAAAGGTTTTAAATTTCCTTTAATTTACTTGGGAATATTTCCAGTCTTGCCATATAAGGATATCATTAAATCATTGCTTCTCCTGGGTGCGTGTGTGTGTGTGTGGGGGGGGGTGTCTTCACTTCCCACCCACCCCCATCACTACACCATGGAAAAAATACAAACAGTATGCAAGCAAAGTTGAAAGTTACAAGGGATAAAGGAGCAGAAAGTGTTGGGTGTACAAATCTATAACAGCTGGTAAAGTCTTTTCTCCCTCCCTGATGGCTAGAAGAAGAAAAAACAAACTCAACTTATCATTGAAAGAGAATCAGTTTTGAAGGGTTTTATACACTTATCAGAGATAAGAATATCTTTAACATTAAAAAGGATTATTCATTTCTCTTCACTTTTATTTCTATTACTCTCCTGTTACTTCTTCCCTCTCCTTTATTTCTGTCTCTGACCACCCCAATACTCACTTCCCATATTTTCTCTCTACTTATGTCATGATTTTTTAACAGTCCCTCATTTTATATATATATACACACACCTCTCGCCCTCTAGATATATTTATATATTACACACACACATGTGCATGCACACTTCTCTCCTACCATATATATACACACACACACACACACACACACACACATTCCCCCCAACATCTCGTTACACACACACCCCCCCAACATCTCGTTACACACACACACACTCCCCCCAACATCTCGTTACACACACACACACACACTCCACCCCCCAACATCTCGTTACACACACACTCTCCCCCCAACATCTCGTTACACACACACACACACCTCTCACCCCTCCTATCTAGTTACATACACACACCACTCTTCCCCTTCCATCTCGTGATATACACCCCCCTCTTCCTGAAAATTTATCTGGTTATTCCAGAGATCAACTCTCAAAAACTGAATTTTAAAAAATTTTTTAAAATGCCACATTAATTCCTCATATGAAGCAAACAGGAAGTGATTTTAAGGTAAAAGAAAAAAAAAAAAAAAAAAAAAAGAATCATTCTCCCCACCCATGAGTACTTTCCATTTTTCTTTTGCTTTTGAGGGTCCATCAAGGAATTCATTTGAGATTGTGTTCTACTTAACATTCCTTTGCTGCCTCACATTTCATCATCTGATAAGAAAAAGATAAGAGTGCAGGAGGTCAGGAAAAGAGAGTTGTGGCAACCAGTCAAGCATAAAGCACACCTCATGATGATTAGCTATAAGCTGGGTCAATTAAACAGACAGAAACAGGAGGTGGAGTGCTGCTCAAAAGAAAACTTAAACCATTTGTTCAACTAAATTAACCAAGGTCTTGTATGATAAAACACATTGTCAGGCAAACAAAGCATGCATATGAATTGGACTCTCCCAACGTTTTCAACATATGAGAGTTCAACATTTCAGTCAGTTATATGCCATGCATGGTACACACTTAGGCAATCATGTATCTTTCGATACATGACTGACGAGGCAGATATTTTCCTGCAGTAGGTTGCCATTTCTTTCTGCAATAGACCAGTTGCCATTCAAGGCTATAGAACATGGTCTGTCTTGCTATTTACCCATAGCTGGGGGAAGAAGAAGAGGATTCATACCTTTCCCAAGGGTATTACCACATAAGTGAATGTAATAGATTCGACTGGAATTAGAACTCTGCTCTCTGATTCCTCAATCCAAGCCACTATCCATTACTCCACCATCAGCCAGAGACTATCAGTACACATGATTTCATTATAAGGGAGGCTCATGCAGAACTATCCACATTTTTTTTAAAGAACCAAATACACAGAACTTATGCACAAAGTGTGCCACAAGGTCTCCAAGTGACCACCCTTGGGTTTTGAATTCAGGGATGGACTTCTAGGCTGGTTGCTAACCAAGGATAAAGAGTCCAGTCGGTCTCATACTATTTAATTCAATAGGGGAAAATGAAGAAATGGATTCATATCTTGTGCATAGAGTTTGTTACAAAATCTACTGGAATTTGAACTGCTTTCCAATTTCTCATTCTGTGCCACTATCCAGCACACCATCTACACACAAACATTATATATATATATATATATATATATATATATATATATATAATACAGGGTTAGTCAAAACAAAGGAGCAGATTTCAAAAATCTAATAAAAACAAATGCTAAGAGAAACAGATTTGACACATTACTGAATAAAAAAGGTTTAAAGTTTGTTATTTTAAGGTTACACTTTGTAAATTGCAGTACATAAAAACAATTGTAAAAATTGTGTTATCCTTAAAATGGCTACACCACAATTCTTGTGGCATGGTCATTTTAAGGGTTAACACAACCAGAATTTTAAGGGTTAACACAATTGTGCCAGAATTTTAAGGGTTAACACAAATAATTGTGCCAGAATTTTAAGGGTTAACACAAATAATTGTGCCAGAATTTTAAGGGTTAACACAAATAATTGTGCCAGAATTTTAAGGGTTAACACAAATAATTGTGCCAGAATTTTAAGGGTTAACACAAATAATAATTTAAATTCATACAAAATCTGGGGGGGCATTTAAACAAGACTTAATTTTTTTTAAAATCTATTTTAATAACTTTGAACCTTTTCCTATCCAGTAATGTGTTGAATGTGTTTCTGTCTCTAAGCATTTGTTTTTATTAAATTTTCAAAATCTGCTCTTTTTGAGTAACCCTGTAGATACTTTAGTAATAAGAAATCATGCCAGATTAATTTCCATTTAAAAAGATTATTTGTTTACATTTTGTGTATGAAAACAAAGCTCATAGATGTAAAATTTGAAAGGTTCCAGCAAGAGATGTCATTTTTTGAGGTAACTGAGCCCTGTCTTCTAGCTTTCCGGGGCCTAATTAGTAGGCACACACAGGTTTGATTCCTGTTGAGAGACTCCCCCACCCCCTACAATAGTAGGAAACTTCAAGATTTCTAGGCTAGTTGACATTCATTTCACCATTTAAAATGACAGTCATGTCAACTCAAACATGTGTACCCACTAAATACATTTACATTAAAATACATACACAATAGCTGGCTACTCGTATTCAAGGATACTTGTCTACCAGGGTGGCTAGCCAATCCCTATTGCAGATGCTCACTCAGGCACATTTTGTGTTTGCTCAACACCCACAGAGGCCACCTGTGGTTTGTACTGCAACTATACTGAGCAGACCTTAGCTACAGTTCCTGGGAGAGAGCGTGTTATCTAGCATGATCAACAACAGCACACTCAAGGGCTCCAATAGTTCCATCTAACCAATTTCACTCACATGGTTTGGGTCAACCCATGGTATGGTTTGGGTCAACCCATGGTATGGTTTACAGGCACTTTCCAAAGGTGCCACATGCTGGGATCAACCTCGAGCCAGTCCGATAACATCAGGAAGTTGCCTTCCTGACATATATATATATATATATATATATATATATATATTGGGTGGGGTGCAGGTTGGTTCACCTCCAAAAAAACAAGTTTAAAAACATTAAATTATTGAACACTTTGAAGGGTGTCTAGTAAAAAGTGGTAAATTCAGGAAGAATTTCTGCACATCTCATCAATCTCCATGTTAGATGTTCTTTGAAAAGTACAATAAATTGATGCTCAAAATCAATGAGTTATTTAGCGATATGAGAAGGGCAAAATGAAAGACATAAATAACCTTTAAATAATGAGTCATAAGATAGAACAGAAATTAATCAATCATAAAAGAACTACTCAGAGTTAAGTAATTATGCAAGAGACAAATGATTATTCAAGGTCGTGAATATTCAAGAAATTTATCCAAGGTCAATTACTCCTGAAAGATAAAACGGTAATAAAATTTGCCACCTTTTTTTTTCAATCCTTGCTATCTTACTTCAGTTCCTTTCTCCCAACAGGAAGATTTGATAGATTTGTTTTTTTACGGCTTATCAACATTTGGCTGGTTATTTAAAAAGCTATAAAATATTTTTCAATTGTAACACTTTTTGAGATGATTTTACTGATACATCCTGCTAATTAACCAATAGCTGGTGGGAGAATTGGTGAACTCCTACATTTCTCATATATAAGTTAATATAATGAACCCGACTGAAATTTGAACTGTTCTGATTTTCAATTCGGACCCATTATCTATTACACCACCTGTATATCTGATTACAGCACTTGGTATTCCCAAGTAGTCACCCATCTAGGTACTAATCAGGCTCAATGTTGCTTAACTTTGGTGATTGTACAAGAATGGACATCACATGGCAGAAATAGCATGCCAATAAATGAATACAACAGGTACCTGAAAAAGAAAGTGTAGGATGCCGGAGCCGAAATAAATAAAGTCTCGGATAAATGAAATATAATCAATATCTGTCTATACATGGCACAGTGGATAAAGGCGTTGGTTAGATCCAGTGACAGGAACCAAAGACTGAGTTCAATACCCGGTTAAGGTGGTGGAGAACTTGGAGAGGGAAATTAACAGGAGATAACTGATAACTGACATCCATTAAAAAAACATGGCACATGGAACTAGAACAGTCTACCCCAGTGAGTGAAGTAAAGGGTTCAGTTCGACATTCCAACCACCTGAAGAAGGCCGGAATGTACAATGGCCAAAACGTAATAAATATGGCAACAAAGATGAGGACAATAGTCCAAATAATGTAAAAGAGTGAAATATAATCAATTTTGAGTTTTTCTTTTTCATGAACGACAAAGTGGATGATAGCTTCTTAGAATAATTTAACTAGAATAATTTAACAATGATCCACAAGCAGGAAGTAGGGGGGGTAGAAGAATGTTATTTTGCAGAGAATCAATTTCGGATTCATTTTTTTTCTAAAATTAGGTATTCCAAACTTAAGTTTTATTTTCAATAAATCTAAAATGATTTAAGGCATAGAGATCTTGACAAAACAAAAAAAAAAATGAGATCAAATTTACTTTACGAGCTCAATTAGCAACAAACTTATGACCATTCAAAGTTATTACTCATCTGCTATTGGACAAAAAGTCAGTTTTAACAGTGTGTAACTGAAGATGCAGGCTTCAAACAAGTTAAAAATCCTGATAAATGTAATTCCATGTAGGTAGTCTTGAAGTAAAAGATAATGCTCGTGAAGATCAATAATTCTTAGATCAGACCAGCCTAAACATTTAGGAATTTTTGTTCTCAAAAACAAAATCATAAAAATATGAGACAGAAGATGATTGATCATATATGTTTCACTTCAACAGTTAATGCTTTCCAACTTCTTTGTATACTTCATAGTATAACAAAGCTTTTTTTTTTTTTTTTTTTTTTTTTTTTTGATGTGGGTAGTCCCTCAATAAAAAAAGAAAATCTATATTTACATTCCATAAAAAGCATAATTTATAGCTCAAAAGTACACCATGCAGAACTTGTCCTAAAATGTATCCATTGGAGATACATACCTGAAACTTTGCAACTTTAGTAATTTGGGGATGAAAAAATTCAACAAAATAGTCCCGTTTACAGTAATCTCAATATATTTTGTAAAATATGTATCTTATTTTGGAAACTTTTGTGAAATTATGTAATTTTCAACTCTACAAAAACGGGACTGTAATGACTACAAAACTTATTTTGTAAAAGAAAAACAAATACTTGAGAAGAGTGCTTAAAAATTCTTAATTTATTCATCTAGCATCTTAGAAACTGATAATTTTATTTTTTTTTTTTAAATATCATGTCCCTTCAGGGCACATGATCAGGTTTCTCCATAGATTCTTTTTTATTATCTGTGAATAATAATTCGTTCTTGGGAAATAAATGAAATGGTATCCCATTGCTTTCCCCAGTTTCAAATGGATCATTATCTTTCTCTTTGACTGGTTACTGCGCAAAGCGAGAGAGCCCAGTCTACCCTACTATTTAACACCTAGCTGGGTAGACAAGAGATGATTCATATCTTTCCCAAGAGAGTGTAAAAGTTAATATAACCAACTAGCCTGGAATTTGAACTCTGCTGACAGTTTGTACTCTAGTCAAAAATAAATGATGATGTGATTCACCGTTCATCTTAAAATGCCATTTTATTTTGATAATGCAATAAGGGAAGGATTAAACAAAGCAGCCATCTGGAGTTCATGTTCACCTCTCAGAGACGCCAATGACTCACTAGGTTTTATCAGTGAGAGTTCAAGAGATAAAAGTGGCTTTGAAAAGACACAAAGCCTTTCTTCCATGTTACTTGCTGGCCAGAAATTGACATTAAGGGATTTCTAGAGAATTCTTCACTCCCAAAGTGAAACCAGTTGAAAGCAAAAAGGTTGAAAATCTGGAAGGTAAAGAAGTGTGGAGAAAGTAGGAGATAAATTCCAAACAATTCTACTAAGTCAAGTAAAAGATTCACAAGAGCTTGGCCTTCAAAAGAATGGAGTTACCTATTATTAGTACTGTTACTACCAATATTAGTAATTAAGTCATTGAACATCAGGCAGGTTAAAATGTCTTTCAAGATCATCATTAACAATTTTAATTAATTTTTTTTTTTTTTTTTTAATCTACATTTAATAAATATTAATCCTCTGGATCAAAGGACTGTAAAATTCTTTAAAGATTAGGATCACTTGACAGTGAATACTAGGCAATCTCCCCATGTATGATAAGAAAACTAGAAGCAGCAGAAATATGGTTCTACAGAAGGATACTCAGAATTCCATGGGCAGAACGAGTAAACAACAAGGAAGTCTTAAAGAACAAAAAGAACACACACTCAGAACCAGAAAAAGACAAATGAAATACCATAAAAACATAATGAGGAAAGAAGGCTGGGAAAAATTAACCCTCATGATGAAAAAGATGATGCTTATTATGTACTATGCTTATTATGTACTATGCTTATTATGTACTATGCTTATTATGTACTATGCTTATTATGTACTATGCTTATTATGTACTATGCTTATTATGTACTATGCTTATTTATTATTATGTACTATGCTTATTATGTACTATGCTTATTATGTACTATGCTTATTATGTACTATGCTTATTATGTACTATGCTTATTATGTACTATGCTTATTATGTACTATGCTTATTATGTACTATGCTTATTATGTACTATGCTTATTATGTACTATGCTTATTATGTATGTACTATGCTTATTATGTACTATGCTTATTATGTACTATGCTTATTATGTACTATGCTTATTATGTACTATGCTTATTATGTACTATGCTTATTATGTACTATGCTTATTATGTACTATGCTTATTATGTACTATGCTTATTATGTACTATGCTTATTATGTACTATGCTTATTATGTACTATGCTTATTATGTAATATGTTATTATGTACTATGCTTATTATGTACTATGCTTATTATGTACTATGCTTATTATGTACTATGCTTATTATGTACTATGCTTATTATGTACTATGCTTATTATGTACTATGCTTATTATGTACTATGCTTATTATGTACTATGCTTATTATGTAATTATGCTTATTATGTACTATGCTTATTATGTACTATGCTTATTATGTACTATGCTTATTATGTTATGTACTATGCTTATTATGTACTATGCTTATTATGCTTATTATGTTATTATGTACTATGCTTATTATGTACTATGCTTATTATGTACTATGCTTATTATGTACTATGCTTATTATGTACTATGCTTATTATGTACTATGCTTATTATGTACTATGCTTATTATGTACTACACTCCTTAGTTCCACCAGTTCTAACCTTCACAGCTAAGACCCACCATGCCACACCCATTATAGCAAACCACCTTCATTCCATGAGTATTCCCCCTGGTGACATCCAACTTCCACTCAGACAGCTTCTTCCAACAACCCACTGCTTTGTGAAAGTGACTCCTAAGAGGTTGCTTTCCTGATTGCTACAATCTTAACCAGTTCATGCCTAAGGCTAACCGTTATCTTCAACATAGGCATAACCCTCTACCTCAAGTGGGCTACATGCCTTGTACAGAGTGAACACCAATGCAGAAATAAAATAATAAATTCCCTTTCATTTATAGTTGCTTAGTGATTACAAGAAAAACACTTTTACTCAGAATCAGAAAGTGTCAGCTGAAATTTCTTGGGTGCATAATGAGGAAGGAGGGCTTGGAAAAATAACACTCACAGGGCATATAAAAGGCAAAAGTGATAAGGGAAGGCAGCAAGCTTGTGTTGAGTGGATGACAGAAAGAGGCAGGAGCTTTAGTAAGAGGAGAACAACTGCTAAAGGACAGCGGATAGGAAGTTGTGGAGAGCCATGTTCGCTTATGTACTGAAGGGACATGGCACACAGAATTAATCAGCTGAGAAAAAAAAATATCTTTAGGCAATAAATTTGACAATTTTCAAATGTCACAGTAACTTGTTTCCAAACATTAATTAAACAATCTTGCTATTTCAGGTTTTAAATTAATTCTTAAATGCAAAAGGATTTGAGAGAAAAAAAATAAAGTAAGACTTGTCAGTTTGAATCGGTTATTTTAGTGCAACACAAAAACTGTTACATTTATTGATAAATTATTCATCTGTGCATTTCCCGATGTAAGAAAACCTGTCAATTACAATCTTAATTCTACTAAAGAAAGACAAGAATATTTTAGTTAGTGATAAGATACACAGACATACTATTTATAGATTAGATGATAAAATTACAATCTTTTGTTACTTAACCATGCTCACTTGCAAAAGATTTTTTTAATTTAAAAACCAACAAAAATATAAATAAACTAGCAGTATAACCCGCCTTTGCTCGGGTCTTTCATTACTGGGAATTTTTGCTGTTCAATTGGAGCAGTTTAAGTTTAAAGTCAGCCCACCCAAAAATCAATAATATTAACAACATTTGGGTGTAATTGAGGCACATCCCCAAATAGGGGGTTAATTATTTGAATGGGGGGCAGGTGGCCCTGAAAAGGGAACTGTATAATAATAAATAATATTATTGTAATAATTTAAACTATTTTTATTAAAGTTTTTATGAAAGATATATATATATATATATATATCCAATAACAGACAGTAAATAGTAAAACGTTGCTGATTGTTATAATGGACAGGAAGTAGTGAAGAGCCATTGTCACCAACAATTTGGACTCAAAACTGGCACTGAAGAATTATCTATTAAACAAAGAAATTTCATTTAAATCAGATGAAAACTGTGGAAATGCATAAACAACATCACACACTATATATATATATATATATATATATATTGAGAATTATA